CTTCTTCTGAACCAGAATTTTTCTCTGATGTTTATTCTTGATATATCTAGAATTTTATGGTTTTGAATTTCTATTATATGACAAATTTTTTCATAAATGGGATTTTAAGACCCATAGTTTGATGCATGATCTTTTATAAAATTTAATAGTTGCCGAGCTGGTTAATTAATTCCCTGTTTTTATGGACTCCCAGCTTACAAAAGCCTATGCTGAGCAACAGAGGGCTTCAGACATACACGTTGTATTAAGCAAATAAATACTTAAATTCATTATAAACTTGATTTTGATAGTTTTCAAGGGACGGGAAAATCATAGAATGGGTGGCCGAAGGTAGCAGTAAGTTGAGGGGGGTTTCTTATTTGGCCCCCTCACTTTTTTCAGCGAAATGTCTGGGTTAACACAGAAATGTGTTTTGTATTTTTTTTAAAAATTTCTAATATCGAACTATGGAAATCTTGAAAGAAAACCTTTCCTGATAGCTTTCAGTTTTAACAACTTCTTTGACTGAACTGGCTACAATACACCCCTGTTTATTCCATCGAGATTTGTCAAGTCTTGAAATGTCACAGTGAAGGAGGGAGGGAATGAGATGAAGACAAGAGCAGACAAAGTGAAGAGAATAATAAAGAAGTTGATAGAATTTAATTTAAGTCCTTTCTCTCTGGATCAGAAGAGACTCATCATTTCATCCCCTTGCAAGATATAATTAATTTTCCTCTCCTTAATGCTCTTCACTCTCTTCTTTCTATCTGATAGATACACGAATGGCTCCGTCAACTGCAGGAGGAACTGAAGCATGAATCAGGGGTGACAGAAAGTGCAGGGGGATTTTTATTTCATCATCTCTACATTGCGGGTTTACCTTGCGACTGTCAGATATTTATTTAAAGATTCGAGAACTTTATAGACAATTTTAAAATCTGTCTGAACGTTTTGTGTACGCTGTCTCATGTTGGCAGCAGTAAGTACTCTGAAATGCCGGTAAACTTTTACCAGACGGCACAGTGCGACGTCCCAGAAGGCAGCCATCGCTATACTCGCTGCTGTGAGAACTTCAAATCTCGATTACTGATGATATGTTGATTTTAATCAAAATCCAGTGTTTATAAGAAGGTTTATTTTAGATCTTCTATTCCAAAGTTCATCAGAATTGTTTAATCAGAGCTGAGTTCCAAAAGATTTAATTAAGATATATATAGTCTTAGAATTGGTTTGTTTCAGTGTTCTTCAGAATTTGAGTTAGGCATGCATCATGACTGATATGTTGATTCTTCCTTCGTATATCAGTGTTTTCTGAAGTACACTGCTTATATGACATCAGATCAGTAGGATGATTTGTAAATGGTGAATTAGAAAGGCTGAGAAGGAAGTGGTCGTGTCTGTTTTAAGGTGCTTAAATTGAAGCAGCATTGCCAACCACTCATCTGCTTTGTTTGGTACAAATATGTTTAGTGTGTGTTAAAGGAAAGGTAATTTTTATGTCACTTCCTTCTTTTACGTTAGTTTTCTACACCCCTTGCTTAAGTCTTACTTTTTATGCTTTCTTCTTAATTAAAATTTAGCGTATGGCCATCTTTCATACAGTGAATTAAGATTTTTAGGGGGGAATTTTGTATAGTCAAGGAGAACTTTATCTTTGTAAAGTTCTTCAGTTATATGAAGTTAAACAAGGTGGAAATTTCTTGTATAAACTCGTCTGGCTGGAAAGGCTAAGGAAAATGCGATTCTAAGTCTCTGAGATCGTACATCATTAAATATTGTGGATTAAGTGTGTGAATCTTTGACATGTCTGTTTCTTCTTGACTTACAGACAAACAGACGCTTGTTACGGACGCGGGGAAGCTTTATGTTCTAGATGGGCTGCTGAGAAGATTGAAGGAGCAGGGTCACCGAGTGCTGATATACTCACAGATGACTCGCATGATTGACTTGCTAGAGGTGAGTTCCACCAGTACGTCGGGTGATTTTCTCTTTACGTGTCAAACGATATAAAACAAAATTTTGGCTAGAACTGGAACGACTGAAAATCAAAGCAGGGGTTTTACCAACTATGACTTTTACCGTGCTCTTCGGGTGACCATTTTAAATAATGTCTTGTATCTGTTAATTGAGTTTGCCAGCATAAAACCATGAACACGCATGCATCTAAAAATATTCGTGAAATTGCTGAAAGATGAATACGTCTTTGGGGCGAAAATTGTGGTTTTTGATCTGCGGGAGTTCCCATTCATAAAGAATGTCTTCGAGGGTGAAAGACATCTAAAGAATTTCATTCATGATTTTTATAAGGAAGTAGTTCGTAATGTTGCATCTGTCTATTCGTGGTTTTATTTAGGAAATAATATCTAAGTGGTATTGTCTTTCGTCTGGGATCTTTCTGTCATACTTCGGGGGTTTCTGTGTCCTTTAAAGACAAGTACATCTGAGTATCTCGGTCTTTCACGATTCAGGATTAAAGTTGCATGAAATTCCTTTTTCCTCACTTATGTCGGAGGCCTGACTTAATACAAAAAAAAGATCTGTGGGAAACTTTGTGACTGAATTCATAAAAAAAAAAATCTGTGGGAAACTTTGTGACTGAATTCTGAGAAAAGTTTAATTGTATGGCTTATTTTGTCCCTTTGCTTCTTATTTGTAGAGATACATTATTTTACTTTAGGAAGTTTTATAGGTGGTTTTTAAAAGTTCCATTCAAGAAGCAGAATTTACTGCGTGTAATGAAAAAATGACAGTACTTTGAATCAAATTGTTGTAGGTCCGTGTGTACAAATGCGTGACCCTCTCCTTTTCCATATGTCTCGAGAGCTTATACGCTTCCTTCTCCGCTTCTCTGATCCCCTTCTCCCCCTCCCTGCAGGTAGTCACTCACCATGAATTTGTACCCACCCACTCCTGTCTGCTGCAGGAACCACTTGCTCTTCACCCAAGTGTGAAGTCACTGTACAGTCTGTTCCAAAATGTTGGACTCATGTGACTGCACTGGGGAAGTCATCAGAGGCTCAGAACAATTTGTCGGACAAATTCTTGTCCTTTGGTCTTTCCTGCTGGAGGTTAAAGTGGAACTTCGGCTATCAGGAATAATCTCTGTTGAATGTTGAAGGACTTGCATTTTGGCTACTGTGGTAGTTGCCATCCTCAGGGTGTCTATTCACATTTTTTGTTTTCCGCCAGATTCTCAAATCCCCAAAGATATTTGCAGCATTTGACAGGGCTTATTTCCGAAAGCCAAAGTTATGATTTGTCCACACGTTTCATCTCTGAAATTACGGAACAGATCTGATTTAATTTGACGTTATGAGAATAAGCGTCGGTTTTATTCTGCCTCTCTCTTTCTTCGAAGAACTATCTGTTTCTGCCACCTCAGTAAATTGTCCGTGTCCGTTATGATATTTTTGATACCCCTGTTGTGGTTATTGATTTTGAAGGTTATGAAATGTCTCCACGAAGATTGCCTGCCCCCTTTCTCGTCACTGCACTGCCCACTCGGATGAATCGTCATAAAGAGCACGAGCCACTGACTGGCTACGTCTCGTTCGTGAGTTCCCGTGGGAGATTTTGGAGCTACCGCACATTTATTTCTTTTGAATCGTGTTGTGCATGAATGAGTTCACTGGGTGTGGAAGGGGGGGGGGATTTCTCTTTGAGAGGGAGTGTAGGAAACAGATTTGTAATTTTATTTTGATTGTTTTGTCGGGCCTTCACATTGAAAAATTCTTAGCTTCATTCTTGTCGTGCATGCCAATAGGTGCGGTATGTTGTTTGTTGAGAAGAGTTGCATTTGGCAGTTTTTAACAACAAATTTGAACTCGTTGAGCAGGTTACCTCTGCAATAATGTGCCTGGCTCGTATTTGGGAGGTACACAGTTCAAATCTCCTAATTTTTGTTTCTCTTTCAACTAGTTTAGACGTACTTAAACCTGAGATTTTGCCGTGCCGTTTCAGAGAAAGTAATTAATTCACTTTAATTCGTGTTAACACAACTCTGGAATCGGAGCGTCTTTGTGAAAGGGGTACCGCCCCCTTAAATTGGAAGCATTAAAAAGTTAGTTAGGTCTCTAACAGATGTCACTAGGAGGTTAAAAGGGAAAATGAAAGCTTTCTGGTGGAGTATTTTTAGTCGTGCGGGTGAGGAGATAATGAAACTACACATTTAATTTTGGTTTTTCATGTTATTTGGGACTGATTCTTTTCACGAAGACCTAAATATATTTTGTAAAATTAATTTAAAGCTTCATTTCTCTATATAATAAGTAACTGTTAGTAGTCTTCTTCTTTGGTTGGTTGCTTTGTGATAATTTGTTGTCAGGGGATGATATTTTTGAATGTGTTTCCTACTTTAGATTTTCCTCTTATTCTTGATGGGCACTTTCGTTAGTTCTAAAATTTAGCCTCCGGGCTGAGAGTTGAATCTGGAGCTTCTGAACGTGAAGCCCGAGTACAGGCCACTACGTAGCAGTGTTCGTGTCTTGATTTCGTGTCGTCCACCGTTAGTCGTGTGATTTTAACCCCAGATTTTCAGGAATGTGTCTGACAACTGAAAACAGTAATTAATTCTCTTGGAGGTTTTGGACGGCTCGCATATTAGAACCCCTCTTTCCCCAGTTTGCTTTTCTAACATTTTTTCGTAGTCTTCCTGAGCTGTGATTTTGAAGCCGCCTGTCCCTCTTGAACCGCACGGACATTCGCTGACATTTGACCGCCATACGCAGCAAATTGTCAGAATGTTTTTGAGAATATGTCCCTCATTATGAATCACTGTCCTCAGTGTACTTACGTCTAACTTGGAATTCAGCGGGTAGGGCGAGGCTGGCTGCATGGAGGAATGTGAAAGTGCTCAGAATATCTGATTACTTGCCGCTCGCTACCTGAGGAACACAACAGTTGCAGTGCACCATAATGTATCAGTAAGAAGTAATCCCTTAAATTCTGTGATTGCAACAGTGGAACATCTGAATTTCTTATTTTTACCACAAGACGTACAGAATTTTTAACCCTGAAGGTCGACACCGTTAACACAAATATATAATAAATTGAGCCGAAACGTTTGTCCCTCTATTCTTTGATTCGGGCAAGGGTCCTTGAAATTCTGCGCGTGAAATTTTCTAATTTTGTCTCTCCTTTGATTGGATTAATATTTTTTGTTCAACATTTATACTCTTAAAAATGTCTGTCTCTTGGGATGCTGCGCCATGTGGTATGGTAGAGGCTTACTGTTGTTTCAGTGATGCTTGCTGCCTCCATCATCAGGGCAGAATCTCACCGATACTACTTATTTCCTCTCTTAATTAATTTAATAGCGTGGTGGAGAGATGTGTAAGGTAGTGGCCTCTGGGAAAGCCACTGACGTTGACAACCACTGAAAGAATTAATGATGCATCGTCAATGAGAAATACATTTTCCACCCTGATTGTAATTTTACAGGAATATATGTGGCACCGAAAACACACTTATATGAGACTTGACGGTTCGTCGAAGATCTCCGAGAGGAGGGACATGGTGGCCGATTTCCAATCACGGTAAGCGATTAAAATTAAATTTAAAAGTTTAAGTGTGTTTTTGGTTCTTGGTCTTATGAGTTGTAATGCCATGTGGACTTGTGGGGAAATAATAATATTTTGGAGGAAGAGGGCTGAAGACGGAGGCAGTATGTCCCTCCAAAACATTTATATCTACCTAAAAGTCCACACAGCTTCACGACCGCAGTCGGCGCATGACGCGTTTGTTTCCGTTTGCAGGGAAGACATCTTTGTGTTCCTGTTGAGTACTCGGGCTGGCGGACTGGGCATCAACCTCACTGCGGCTGATACGGTGAGTCTCCTCTTGTACTTGACAGATGACGTGATAATGGCCAGGGTTGCTCAAGTGATTTCTGAGGCAAGTTGCCAGCTAAACTCTCCCTCCACTCGCCACTGCACTCGCATCGCGTAAAAAGATTTTTTTTACAGGAATCGGCCGCGATCGTGTTTTTATGAGCCAAGTAATGCCAACATTTCAAGGATAATCGTGTCGTGTAGATACTGCGATTGTTAAGTGGTGTGATTTTGAAACGCATCAGGCCCTAAATGATGACCTCCGTTTATCAAAGACTTTGCCGTGACGCGTCAGGGAGGCTGGTACTGATTTAGCCCACAGTTCTCACATCATCAGCAATTAATCTCCTGAACCAGCTTGAGGGGGTGTACTGGGGTATAAATGATTGATTTCTTGCCTTCCAGGGTAACCAGCCCTTATCAACAGAAAGTGGAAGAGTCGGGGAGAGGGGTTATTAGATTTTGTAACTGAGGGTGTGGGAGTAAGAACATCTGGTTTGATTTTTAGTCGGGTGGTGGAACATTTTTTTCTCCTGTGGGGCGGTGTGTTTGGAAAGTGGTTGATTATATGAAGAACCAGAAATTGGGGTTGATATTCTGGAGGAGACATCTGTCTGAATTTATGTCTAAAATAATCGGCATGATTAAAAAGTGCGTAATTATATAATATTAAATTAGATCTTGGAAAATAGGTTGTGAGGATGAAAGCTGGACTGAACTGGCCCAGGACTGTGTCCAGTGGTTTGTTCCTACCGTTGGACTGAACTGGCTCAAGACTGTGTCCAGTGGTTTGTTCCTACCGTCGTATTTTCTGTTTACCAGGTTACGAGGCTCACCCAGCCTCTTAACCAGATATATTGTCCTAGAAATGGGTGTCCTGTCTCGCTAGCATTATAGCAACGTTGTTTCACTTCATCCCTTGAAGCTTGGAGAAGTTTGTTCGTGAGGACATCTGGTGAGTATCTCTATTAGTAACAGACAGATGTCTGTCAGTGGGAAACAATCCACGCTGCTAATGAGAGGGTGAGGCTTCAGCAGCTGAAATGGACAACCAGTCCCTACACAGATGTGATTTATATCGTGGATTGTAATATTCTGGATTGTGACACCTTAGTAATGTTGTAGGCGATTACCAACATTTTATAGGAACTTATTGGCTTAACTTATACTGTGTATATGTCATCTATCTTTTTATTTTTCGCAAATTCATTACAAAAATGCAGCTGTTAGCTTCGCATTGTCTGGCTGTTCGCCCAAATAGGGTTATAACAACTCAACTGCCGAACAGATTTTTAATGAAATTTTGTGCTGTACGGTGTTACAGAAATTCGTCAACGCCCCTCCTCCCACCCCGTTTTGTTACCGTTGGATAACAGTAGCTGGTATTTTATACTCGAAGAAAAGTTTTTCTGCGCATGGGTGGGGAATCCCCAGTTAGACCACGTGGGAATCCCGGTCTCTGATGTTATTTGCGTCGTTTCGAAATGTCATGTCCTGGTGAACGCGCAAGTATTTTTACGCCGTGCCTACATGTCCTCACTTTTTTATTTTGAAGTGAACGAATAGCATAGAGAATACTGTTACGCTGTCGGTTTTTTTTTTTTTTGGGGGGGGGGGGTCCCCCTGAAATGAAAGTTGCCTACATCGGAGAACACATTTACTTTTCTGCGCATGAAACTTATTTTCGTATTTGAATAGGGAACCTTAAATGAGGTGGGGTAGAGTAAACAAATGACATCCATTACGTCGTTTGACAGCTGCTAAGCCTCGTAAGAAATGTTAAAAATGTAGTTTGAAGAAATTTTCGTTGTCAAATCGGCCCCCATCCTCCTTTACGTCTTACGACCTTTATCAAAACAAGTTTTGAAACTTTTTTATTCGTTTCATTTTGACGTGTATTTTCTTCTGCGCAATTGACCACCACTGTCAATTACAACATGATAGCATATTTATTCTCCAAAGGAAAGCATTCCTTAAATTGAGACGTGATTACCTCTGTCAGATGTAATCTGTGCGGATACCCTTATTATGGGATGACGTATGTATCTCTACCTGCCGTGGTAGTTATGTTCCGGGCTTATCTTGATGTAAAACGGCTGAATCAGAGCTCTGTATATGTGTCTTGTAAAGTTAAAATTCAGGACACAGTGCGACTAGAGAATCCATCTTATTCGTTGTCTACAATCTGGTCGCTGCGTCTGGGACAATTTTTTTTTGTTTGCGAACGTTTTGTGTGAAGTCCAAAGCGTTCACAGCCCCAAACTAACGAACGAATGAGACCTGCTCACTAATGTTCGTGTATTTGCGATTTGGCTGATAATATTATGCTTGATTTTTAGGAAATTTAATGACGAAAGAATTACCAAGGTCTTGTATATATCTTCGGTGTGTAAATACATGGGTACTTGCCCGGATAGTTGAGTCAGTAAAGATCGGGGTTTGATTCCCGGGAGTAGTAGTGTTGCCTCGTCTTGACTTCGATCATTTTACTGTCCAGTGGGTACCGGGGGGAATTGTTGACGGAGCGCGACGCTGAACACTCACCTCCATCTAGTGTTGACATTAAGAATACGTGGAGTTTTACCTCCACTCCATGGCTTAGGCGCTGTAGAAGTGCTCGTATGTGCGTGGTGTAGTCTCCGTCGTAGCTAGTGTACGGGCACATGGAATCGGTGTTAATTATGGCACTGTAAGTGATGCGTCTTTGGGTGCGTTTTGATTGGGCAAAGTGAATCAGCAGAATTACGTAGGCTCGGCGTAAGTTAACTGTGATCCGACATTCCTAGCAAGGCCGCGTTGTTGTTATGGGAACAAGGTGTCCTCTTCTTCCCAGAGGGTGATGGCACGTGACAAGAAATCCACCTAACCCACCGTAGTGTTGACCATTCCGTCGGGCCGGAAGTTTTCCTATAACGAATATAATTTATTTATTTCCTTCCTGCTTTCTGTGTTTTACGAGGGGGCATGTATTAAATCTTGGATTCACGTGTGCCGGCCTCAAAATCCTCTTCCGAGCTGCTATTTTGCGCTCAGCTTTCAATGGAAACTGTAGATTCGTTACCGTGTTCACAACAGCCCGCCACCGGTCCCTGTATTGAGCCACATTAATCCAATCTACGCTCCCAGACTGATTGGTCTTCGGAGTGGTCTCTTACGTATCCCCATGCGCGCTACATGTCCCACCCATCTCGTCTTTCTTATTTTCATTATCTTTAATATTTCATGAAGAGTAAAAGGTACGGAGCCTGTCATTATGCAGTTTCAACTGATATGGGCGCCCACGACGCTGTAATCTATGTAGTTGGAGCAGCGTCGTCGAATGTAAGACCAATCATTCTCAACTCCGTGTTATTTGACATCGTATAACCTGCAGAGTTGATTGAGAGCCCTTCAAAGACTCGGTCTGAGATGTTAGCTAACAGTGAGACTTTGAGAGGCAGGCGCCTGCAATTTGCAATTCCGGGCATGGCTCGTTGTAGTCCCCCTCGTTGCGTACTAAACGGCATTGATACTGTATGGATGCGCTGCTTGTGAACGGCCCAGTGTCCAGGTTCACACACACCTCATCCACGTGAACCACTGGGTGCCCCCAAATAAATGACACGTATTTTGATGTTACAAACCAGATTCAAAGCTCTTCCTTGGTTTCCGGGAGATCTCAGGTTCATGTCTTGATCCGGAGGGCTTGTGCCCTGGGGAATGAATTTTTCAATATTTGTGTCTTAACACGCAAGGTGGTGCATTTTTAATATTATCCTTTAATCTATGCCCGGCCTTTAATAAGACGCGTGTTTTACGACCAAAGACATTTTATTTCGGAGTAGTGCGTCGGCGAGATCCTTGATATCTCAGCAAAGGCTGGGATTCGATTCCCGACGGAGGGACTTCCTCATCAAATCTTGAGGCCCGGTCCACTCAGCCTCCAGTCCTGTGGGTACCGAGATTTCCTTCCCCGCCCGTGAAGCTGCCCGTTCCCATCTGTTTCCGTATTATGGCAATGTGTACAGCTTTACCTTCAGCCTGTACCTACGCCTTCAGGCCATGGTACGTATTCTTATTCCATACTTTAACTATGCACTTTCCTGTGTTTCGAATTCCGCTGAAAATCTGAAGAAATACAGAAGACTTGTTATTTTTCGTGTTAGCATGGCTGACATGGGCGCCTGCTTAAAAGTTTTGGCTCGTAGAAAAGAGAGGACGCTGGATAAAGTTTTTTGAAACTTTGACGCAAAAAAAAGATGGCATTTGTAGCCGGGAACAAGAAGACAAAGGACGAGCTTTGGACGCGCGTCCTCCGAATCCTTGGAGGAGTCAAAACTTTCAAACGTCAGTGACTCCGTTCTGAAGTTTAAGCACTGCTTCGAGTTGTGTGACAGGACGTATTTCTTTTTCTTGCTGTCTGGTGATGGGGATTTTTTTTTTTCAAACGTTGGCTTCATGCCACGGAGATTACTTTATTTTTTTTTCCTCGGGACTTCACGATTCGCTTCTTGATATTATTTCTTCACTCTTCTTTTTCCTTTCGTATTCCGAAGTCCGAGAATTGATACGGGAAATGAAGGCGACCCTAACTCGCCTTTTATAACATCGCCCACACTTTTCATTCGATTTATCCCTGGGGAAAGAGACTTTGCGGGTCTCAGGACGAGGTGGCAAAGAAATCATGTTCCTCCCGGGAATCGAACCGCAGTCTTTCAGTTACGTTACCCAACAACTCGATAATTGAAATGGTGGAGACAGTAGTTTCCTATTCCTGATTTAATCAACGTTGTCAGCACCTCGACTGTGTAGCGTCTAATGATAGGATGATTAATGAATTGGAAGGGACATGAAAGGAAGCGATGACCTAATTTTAGGCACTGGGTAGGCATGTTCATGAAGACACTTGAGAAAATCGCGAGATCCCTGCAATGATGGTCGTAGTCGGTCTCGGGGCTGAGATTTGAACCCGGAATCCGCCGAATACGTGGCAGGAGTCGAAAATTGCTCGGCCTCGAG